AGTCCGGCGGGTATTTTATTTTATTTTTATTTTTTGAGTCAGAGTCTTACTTTGTCGCCCAGGTTGGAGTGCAGTGGCACACTCATGGTCACCACAGCCTTGACCTGCTGGGTGCAGGCGATCCTTCCGCCTCAGCCTACCAAGTAGCTGGAACTACAGGCACTTACCACTATGCCCGGCTAATTTTTTTGATTTATTGTAGAGACGAGGTCTCACCAAGTTGCCCAGGCTGATCTTGAACCCCTGAGCTCAGGTAATCCTCTCGCCTTGGCCTATCAAAGTGCTGGGATTACAGGCTTGAGCCACCGTGCCTGGCCTTTTTTTTTTTTTGAGTCAGAGTCTCACTCTATCACCCAGGCTGGAGTGCAGTGGCACACTCACAGCCACCGCAGCCTCAGTTGATCCTTCCACCTCAGTCTTCCAAGCAGCTGGAGCGACAGGCACACACCACCATGCCCTGCTAATTATTATTTTATTAATTGTAGAGATGAGGTCTCACCAGGTTATCCAGGATGGTCTCAAACCTGTGGGCTCAGGCAATTCTCTCATCTCGGCCTCCCAAAGTGCTGGGATTATAAGTGTGAGCCACTATACCCAGCCAGAATTTTTTTTTAACTTAAAAAAATAATCAGGAGTCTTTGGACTAATTAATCACAACACTGGAGTCTAGAATACAGTGGAACAGTGCTTTAAAAATTATGAATAATTTTTTTTTTTTTAAAGAGAGAGACAGGTTTATGGGGAAAAAGAAGAAGATGACAATAGCAGGGCCCCGGTGAAAGAGAACAGTTCCAGTCTCAGTAAGGCTCACTTAGACTTCCATCTTTGGGTTCCTTACTATCTTACTTTAGTGGGTTTCCATTCCTTAGGACCCAAAAGTCCTTAACTAGAACATACACCTGGGTAATGGTAACCCCAGAACAAAAATCCAGGTCTCCCCTTCTAAAACCTTCTGCACTAGACCACAGCTGAAGACCTAGGTAAAGAACCAACCATGGTACACATTAGCCACTTTCATAGAACAATCTACCTGAGGACTAGTTTATATTGATCTAGTCCACTTACTGCCAATCTTTTCTCTGGCTCAGTTTACCCAACAGGGTGCCAGAGAGAGTTCATAGACCCATCACTGCACTCTTGAGAAAGAGCCTTTGTGAATGAACAAAGATAGCAAAGGTGTTTTCCTAACCCTTACATCTTTCTGGGATTGGAGGATTAGAGGAGGCATAAATCATTTTGTAATAACTGGAAACAAGACACAACTACAGAGTCACAGAAATTGTGAAATATATGTTTTTTCTCTTTTCACTGTGACAATAATGAAAATGAGAAAAAGAAACATAAAAACTTTGCTAGAACACAAATGCTGATTCCTCAGTTGTGCTATCTCACTGTTCCCCTCAACCCCCAAACCATATTCAAGTAATCTGTTTCCATCCAGCCAAGCTTTTAGCTAACTCATGCCTATCTTGGACTACAGGATGGAAAACAGGGCTCATTAATGACAATCATTATGATATGATCATCATGAAATGAGTGATGATACACTCAGTAGCTTTAGGTGTTTGGGCACCTCATTGCTTATTAATGGGTATTACAAATAATAAAATAACAATCATAATGCCAGAGCAAGAAGCTTATTGTGATGCCAAGGAAAAGAGAGAAAGAGGCATTATCAAATAGATAAATTATACATGTCCAAAGGAAGAGAAATCCGTATGATGAAACATCCAAAAAGGTTCAGAGAATAACTCCATCAACCATAACAGCTTATGCTAGATGAACCAGCAGCCTAGAGCAGAAGACCCTGGCATCAGCTCACCCTGGTCAGTTTGTGGGCACTGACTGCTCCTTTGACTCAAATGTGTAAGCCATTGGCTACACGAAGGAATGTAGAATTCACAAAGAGCCATTGCTGTTAAAAAAAACAATGCCAAAAAGGGTGTAATACATGTGCTTTATATTCAGAGGGCAACACGTCACTCCATATTCCAAGATACTGAACAATAACAGAATATGATGGCATTTAAAAATACTCAATTACAGGTTATTTTCACAGGATTTGTGTCTGTAAAATAATGTTAAGTTTTCAAGTGCAGAGCAAATATTCCTACCCAAACAAGCAAGAGCTGAGTACAGAACTCAAAATGGGGTATCGTATTACAGGAGGCTGATCTGTCTGAGAAGTAGCATCCAGGGGCAAATCCCAAACCAAGCCAACCAAGTCATTGATCGCAAATATGCAGGCCAGGAATGCCAAGGCTGGAACAAAGCCCCAGAGCAAAAAATGAGAATGGTACATCAGAGAGAGGATGGAAGAAGAATTCAGCAGAGTTCCCATCATAGCCACACACCCTTTATACAGGACACTGACTGTCTGGAGTGGGCAAGGCGTGCAACACGAAGGCCATCATCCCGGTATGAAGGACAAGTGATAACTGTCATCTCCAAAGATGTTCCCTTAGAAGAACAAACCCTTAGACCATGATGTTTTCTCTGGGCATATACAAAACCTTTTCAGATTTCCTCTTTGGAAAATTCCTTCCTTTAGAAGCCAAAAATGTCATTATCTCATTTAAGTATCCAAACACTTGGCAATTATCAAAAGCAAATTCACTTAAACAATAAATATTTGCCCTCATTATAGACATTTAAAAGTTGCAGACTCTGAAGGAGAATTCCAAAGCTCCAAAAGACCTTATGCCATTGCAAGAGCAACTGAATACATCAATAATCCTGAAAAGTAACCTCTTTAAAGAAAAAATATTCTTTAAAAGGAATAAATTCTAGTAATACTACTTAAAAATCAACCAGGCATAAAGTTTATCAATTTATAACCAAATACCCTGAATTAACAAATGTTCCAAGTAAACAAAATTTTTATTATAAACTAGCATCAATCAAAATCTAGTAGAGTACTTCCAAACTGCTGTCATATTACTAAAGCACTGCTATTCCAGCAAGAGATGACAAAAGGAGCAGAGCCTGGTGATTTTATTGAAGTCCAAGTTTTGAAGTCATCTAGGTCATGGTTTAACTTTTTACCATTTACCTAAAATGTGACCCAGACAAATTGCTCAACCTGACTTTCACATTTTTTGTGTATAAAATGGAAATATTAATAGATACATGGAGGTCTTTGGGAAGACTAAGTGAAACTATCCAAGCCCACAAAGTACATTACTGTGGTGGTGTTTATAACACAGCAACCCCTCCATCCTCCATAAATGTAGTAATTATCATTATTATTATTATTTTACATCTGGCTAATAAGTAGTCCTTATCCATGAAGGATACATTCTAGGACCTCCAAGTGATGCTTGAAACCGCAGACAGTGCCAAACTCCATATACACTGTACATGAATTTCTTCTCCCCTCTTCACAATTTCACGTAGAGGATTTCTTCTTACTGTAGATCTTAGCAATCTTAGCACACAGTTTTTTTTTCCCCCATATTAAGTCGAGAACTTTTACTTTTTCACTTAAAGAAAGTAACTTACAACTTCTCTTTAGCATATCCAACTGACAGTATCACTACTATTAAGCTTTGAGGCCATTATGAAGTAAAGTAAGGGTTATATGAACACAAGCACTGAGATACCCCAGCAGTCAATCTGATAACTGACACAGCTATTAAATGACTACTAAGCAAGTTGTATACACAGTGTGAATTAGTTGGCCAAAGGGATGATCACATCCCAAGTGGGATGGAGGGGGACAACACAGGAGTTTTCAACACATTACTCAGAATGGTGTACAATTTAAAACTCATATTTATTTCTGGAATTTTCCATTCAGTATTCTTAGGCAGTGGTTGACTGTGAGTAATTGAAACCACAAAAAGTGAGAAAGTGAAATGGTGGAAAGTAGAAAGTCCTGAGTATGTTAGCAGCAGACAACAAAAATAATAAAGATTGACTGTCATCAAGGGTTCTCAATATGCATTCCAGATTTACAATACACTCTCAGTGTCCAACACAGCAGGTGTTAGAGCAAACAAGTTCAAAGCCAAGAAGCATGCAATGTACACAGGCAGCACCGACAGCCAGACACCACTCAAAAGCTTTGATTTAACCCAAACTGGCCTGTCTGGGAGATTACAAACCTATTTCCCTGGCCCTGTGTTTGGAGGCAGGAATTCTCCTGGAAGCATCCTGCTCACAGACAAAGGAGAATAAGAGAAATCCCAAAGGTGAATGGCGAACAAAGAGGCAACAACTGGCCGTGGGTCAAGGGGAAAGTCACAGCTGATCCCGCACAGGTCCCAGACTGTGTTCTCCCCACCAGCACACACCTCCCTTTCAAATCAGACTTTCCTCCATCCGGGGCCCATACTGACCCCCAAAATTACTCAGGCTCGTTTAAATAAAGGTGACTCTGAGGCATGAAGGGGAAATCACGCCTAAAATGACAATTGCCACACCAGGACACCACGTACACATGGGCTTAGACCACAAACTTTCTGTGAGATTGGACGTCAGCTGTGCTCCAACTGTTGGGATAAAGTATGCAGCCAAGACTGGGGAATGGGGATGCAGGGTCAACTGGCTTCATCTGAACATAGTATTTCAGAAGCTGCTATAAATACATTAAACACATGATTCATGCACATGGAAAAGTGAAGACCCCTCTTCTGGGCTGGGTGGTAACTTGGAGAAATTCTGAAACTCCACTCTCTAGGTAGCCAGGCAAATCCGTAGGGATGGGTGTGTTCCATCAACAGAGGCTAGAGGTTTCAGTCGCTGGAGCTGAGAAGCAAGATTAATCCATCACTCCCTATTTTAAAACAGGAGCCTCCTCTAAGAAAAAATGTGGCTTCTCCATTTAGTGGCAGAATGGCAATAAAAGCCCAGCTCCTGAACTAGTGAAGGCATTTTGGAAAAGCTAACTAATATCTGAGATTTAAGGCTGTCATCTATAAGCCACAGATCATAATACCAGCCCTTACTACCCCACAGGTCGCTTGTGAAAGCATAACAGTAATACAGACTTACATTTGTAGGACACATTACAGTTTTCTAAGGGTATCCTCATGCTATCTTCATGTCCCAAAAGGATAACAATGATATCTATAACTGTATTATTTCCCCTGTCAATTTTCTCTTAGCTCAGGGTCAGCCAAGAACTACAAAGCAATATCAACATTCTAGTTCAAAACAGGAAATCTAGCAGTTTGTCAATAAAGGAGAGTCAGCAGACCCAGGATGCTATTTAATCCTGCTGAGATAAAGAGGGAAAGCCTTAAAGGGACTATTCTTCTTGGGAATACTCTGATCTTTCTCCTCTAGAGTCAATAGTATGGTTGGGAGATAAGCAAAGGTAAAGGGCAGTCAAGAAGGGATGAGCCTTTCTACAGAGAGGGCTGAGTCTCCAGAACCAGCAAGTGCCTTGTAACAGTTCTTGAAGCTTTGCCCAAAAGATCCGTAAGTCAGCTACTGTCTACGCCCACTTTAACTCCTCCTCACCCTTTTCATCTCTTTTTCTTTCAACAAATATGAATTGAGTACCCACTAAGTGCTAGGCACGGGCAAATTACTAGAGGGGAAAAAAAGACATGATCTCCTCCTTCATGGAATTTAGAATTTCATGGTGGGGAAAATCAATTATAAAAACACATAACTATGCACACCATCCCAACAGAGGTAGGAATGCTCATGAGCAATAGGTCATCTGGGCAACCAGAGAGCAAGAAGGGAGCCCTGTTGGGATGCAACAACTGTCTGAGCACCCAGCATAGTGCCTCTCCCTATAAGTATGCCAAATGGGATTAAGCACACGCTGGGACTCTCCCAGCTGCAACAGAAGCCACACCACCAATCAGTAAGGGGCCAAGGGCAGGAGGAGGGTGTAATTACCCACCAAGCACCAACACTCTAGGCAGGCAAAAACATGCTGTCTTCCAGCTGTTTGTGTATCATTAGAAAAGAAATTAAGATGTCATTAGGAAGAAATTAAATAATGTGCATGTTGTCGTGACAACAAAGATGCAGGCTGCCAGATCTTGCTCTGAGCAGAGATTGCCTGCACGCAGCCCCTTTCTTGAGATCGACTCTGTAGGGAGAAAGGAGAAGACTCTGACTTACCAGTGTTCTTCCCCTTGTAGAAAATCTTCATGTCCATCAGCCCTGTAAGCTGGCTTGCCAGAATCTCCATCTGGGACCCGCTGTATTTAGAAGCTCGGAATATGCTGAGCTGGGACCAGTCATCCCAGTAGATTTCATTCTAAAAAGAAACATTTGCCCATTAGGTCAGCCCCTTAGTGCTGTATTCTAGATCCTCTGTAAGGACAGGAGCTCTCCCATGCAGACGACAACTAACACTTATGGGGTAAATGATCTACCTGAGCAAGATTTCCCTTAAATATAAGAGTCAGTGATCTTTATCCACAGCTCACCAAATATCCACACAGAAAGAACTTCCCCAAAGAAACTCTATCTGAAAAGTGTTTGAACACAAACCTTTAGTTTAGAATCTTCTTCCCAATGTTGGGAAGAATCATTTTCTAGAATCAAAACAGAACTGAAAGGCACCATAGGTGGTACAGTGCTCATATGAAGTCATCAGGGAATGAAATAAGTAAACTTCACAACTGATAAAGACACCCCAAAATGAGGCTACTGACACTGAAGGGCAAACCGAGAATGTTTGTAGGAAGTAACCTTAACTTTTAACCTTTAAAATGTGTACAGCAGGAAGCCTGGACCCCTCCATATGGGCTGAAACAAATTATCTCAAATTTGGATATGAGTCAATTTTTTAGAAGTTAGACTGCATCTCTGCAAAAAACCCAGAGATGGCAGGCTTCTAATCTCAGTGTACCCTTTACCTACTCCAGCAGACTGCCAGATGGTGGCAAGCAATGGACTCACCTTAAAGACAGCAATGGCGTAGGGGTGTGGGAGGTTGTCCAGGATGACTGAGCGTTGCTGGCCACTGAACGTGATCCGCTCAATACAATCCAGGTAGGCATCTGTCCAGTAGATCCACTGGTTGTCCACAGAGATGCCGTTGGGCCACCTCACATCCTCTGACACAAGACGATAGGCCGCGGAACCATCCATCTCACTCCGATAAATCCCAGGCTTCAGGTCTCCCCAGTCTGTCCAGAACATCACCCTGGTCAAAATGGGGATAGAACACATACCCCATCAAAACTGGGAAAATGGGAGCTCATGAACTACTCAAAATTAGTAAGATACCCCTCTAGAAAAATCAGGATGGTTATTTCAGTAGTATAATGATAATCTGTAATTGTAATATCTGAAATCACTTAATTACTTGACCCAGAAGTTCCTCTACTAGAATTTATCTATAAGTAGAATCAAACTATGTAAAGATAATATACCAGGAAAATGTACAAAAGTAATATACAAAGAAATGTATGTATGTGTGTGTGTGTGTGTGTGTATCTCTATATATAGAGAGATACATACACACGTATATATACACCTAAATGTATATATATTTGGTCATATGACATACATATAACACAATGGTTCATCGATAGAGGAAGTGATACATTATGATGAATACAGCAGAATACTATGAAACCTATGTGAGTGTTGTGTTCATATGAAACTCTTCAATACATACTCAGTTTTTTTTAAAAAAAATACAGAATAGTAAATATACTATGAATCTATTTGGTATGTGTATGTGTTTTAGGGGTAATATTGTACATGAGTAAAAGCAATTGTGAAAGATACACAAGAAATTATTAACAATTATCACTAGGAAGTATGAGAGTGAAGGGTTAAGAATGAGAACAAAAGAAACAAATACTTTTCATAAACTTCTGTTCTCCCTAAATATTTTCAATCAAATATATATATATACATATATATATATTACTTTTAGAATTTTCAAAACTAGTGCTAATTCTAAATCATAAGTGCAAAGAGAAAGGAAGGGCAAGAAAGAAAGACATATCCAGAATTCCCCTATAAGTTATGTTTCCTTCAGCTAATGAGTTAGTAAGAAGCACTTTTGCATTCCCCAAGTGAATACTGGCTGTGAATAAGAAAACCTGTATGTGCTGGAGGGGCTGGGGAAAGATGGAATCAATTAAATGTTTGTACCATGCATGAGACTCTATCAAGATAAAGAGTCCTCACACTATCCAAACAGGCCTGTGCATATGCACAGAGACTCTCATTTAACATTACCTTTTCTAGAGAAGCACCTTAAGACGCAAGACATCGGAAAGCCTTGAGAGATTCTGACGCTCAATAATGAAAAGCAAATGGAATTACCTGACCATGATGGCTAAGCCATAGTTTTAAAAATCTCAATTAATAGATTATTTCAACCACAGTCAGAAACAGAGATTTTTGTCCAGCAAGTTTGTGCTTCCAAGAGAATCTTCTGTTGCAGCATTTGATATAAATGTTGGTTTCCTTTTGGGGACACACTTACCCCTCTTGAGGCACAAGGACCAGAGCCCTGGGCCGATCAAGCACAGAGGAATTGACAATTGTCAGTCGGAAGTCACCATCTGGATTAGCTACCTGACAAAAACAGAGGGGAAAAGGCTGAGGTGGAACTGAACTCCTTCAAAGACCCACGCTGCCAAAGGCTTCCACTCTGCATCTGTCTACAGACAGGCCCCCTCTATGCCTGCCTGATTCCCTTACCAGGCCCATCTGGGAAACCCACCCTGATTTTTGTTCAGAATGAGCAGCTCCCTCCTCTGACTCATGTGACAATTTCACATGGCCCAAAAGAGGAGCTAGAACCACGTGTGTCCCCAGTTCCCAGGGCACAATGATCTGCACAAAGTAAGCACTCAACAAGTAAAGTACACAGATAAGTAAATAAGCATTTACTTATCTAACCCACTGGTGTCAGTCCACGTTCCAAAACCACAGCTCTACATTGCTCACAAAGCAAATTCTCAATGGCACAGTCTTGCAACAGAGTCCACAGACAGGCATCACATGCTCTCTCCTCTGCTTCTGCTGGGCTGGTCATCTCATGGCTCTCCCAGCCTGGCACAGACTGGTTCCCATCCGTTCTTGCCATGTCCCATCCCAGGCTGCCTACCCTAGGGCTTGCTCTAACCAAGTCATAACTTTTCTTCAAATCTCACCTCCAGGCCCACCCCCTTTTCTGACCCACCTCGATCAATAAGCATCAGTAGCTCTAGGCCATGTCTCATCTGACATCATTTTGCACAAACCGTAGTTGAATTGTACAGAAGTTGCCCTTCACAAGCCTGTGAAGGCGTGGACACTTGTCCTCCCTTGGTGTTCTTCTAGCCCCTAGCAAAGCACTTGACACACACAATTAAAGAAAGGAGAGAAAGAGAATAACAAGACTGCCAAGGCAGCATTCAGCAAGTGCCAGTAAGTGGGTCTCTCATTCACTTCCATCCACATCCCTATGAGGTGAACACTATCACTGTCCTCCCCTCAGTCAGGGCTCGGTTCAGATGTCACATCAAGACGCTTCTTCAGCTTGCCTTTTCTAATGTTACCTCACTTCCCAACAGCACAATCACACTGTCCTGTTTTACGTTCTTTGTAGCACTTAACATCAACAGAACTGATTGACTATTTTGCTTCCTCCACTAAAATCTAAGCTCTATCAGATCAGGAACTTGTGTATCCTGCCCGCTGCCGTAGCATCAGAACTTGAACCACACAGATCATGCAAAGAGCACTTGTCAATTGGCTGAGTGAATAAATGAATCTGCATCATACACAGGAAGAACCTGAAGCTTAGAGAGCAAAAGCACCTTACCCCACATCACTGAGCTAACAGAGGAAAGCCTGAACCCAGGTCTCTCTCTCAAGTCTCTGTCTTTTCTCTTGCAACTCCTCATGGCTCTCTGTGTCTCCCTGCTTCAACCGTGCTTCCCACTTAACCTGTATGCCAAATCTCCATGTAGAATCAGGATAAAGAGGTGCTCAGGCAGTGAGTTGAGTGTATCTGCATTCCTCAAGATAACAATTTTGGTAGTTAGAGGTCATTCATTACCCTCTCATTGCCCTGGGTATATAAGGTGGGAGAAGTTACCAAGTAGCCAAGTTGCAGAGACATGAACAATGATGATGATGATGATGATATTGCCATTATTACTCCAATCAACTATAATAATACTAAGCAATTAATGTTATAGCATTGTAGTAATGCAACAGTATCTTTATCATTACTGTTATGACACTATATTTCTGCTAGTCAAAATATAAACTTTCAAGTATCTTTATGAAAGCTCTGATGCATTCAGGCATCCCTTCTCACATGGGACCTTCATGGCAGTAAGCAATCATTCTGAAACTATCTCCCTTTTCTATCTTCTTCAGAGGTTCAGCTTGTCCACACCTTGGAGATTCTCAGGAAATTTCCAGAGTAATTTGACTCCCACCTCTGTGTCAAATCTGGCTCAAAGCCCAAGTGCCCCACCTGTTCCCTTAATTAAGAACAGCATGACAGTACACATACCTCAATCTTTTTAAAGCCTGCATCCACCCAGTAAAGTAACTGGCTGAGGGGTTCAAAAGCCAAAGCTTCTACTGTCTCCAGGCCAGAATTGATGATCACCTCTTGCCCTGTGCTCCCGTTCAAACAGAGGCGCTGAAGAGAGAAAAGTCATGATAAATGCTATGAAATGTTCAAATGACCTCCTGCCAAGTCAATCCCACAGACGGTAACCCTTTATTCAACTGGCAGAACTGGCAAGAGATGAGATGTGTTAGGTCGGTAAGCTTTCCAGAAATGTGCCACTAGGTTTTAATAAAAGCATTTTGACAATGTATCACAGTTTCCTTTTTAAAAACATAATAACTAGACAGAATTTAACCATATATATTACCACTGCCTTATCATTATGAACACTGGTTACTAAACTACACTGTATCACACAAATGAAGTTGGCGATTACTGAGATGTATGAGTCTGTTTGCTTTTAAAACAAATGAAACCAGGCTGCTGTTATTTGTAAGTTCTTGTGTCCGCTTTTACACTCTTCACTCTTTGCAAGGCTCTCAACCATCTGGCACTATTGTTGGACAGCTCCATTCAGCAGTCGCCAACATCCCCCACCCCAATGCCCCCAAATACCCAGGCACTGTAAAAATTTCTGCTGGGTTGGGAATCTAGATGAAACTTGTTGGAATTGCTTTTCTTAAAGGGTGAAGTAGACAATGAATAAAGATCAAATAGCTCCTTTTAAAATGCATGGATCTGAGTGTACGGCTATCTATCTGGCCTGTCCAGAGATCTTTAGTGCTTCCTTCCTGGCTCCCATCTGGGTTCAGAAGAGCTGAAGTGGATAATTATGTGAACCATGGAAAAGTCAAGTGTTATCATCTCATAACTTGGAAAGAAAGATGTTAAAGAGGCAGTTGGCACAATAGGGGGTGACTAATAATCTCACCAGCAGGAAAAGTGAGACCTCACTTACAAGCAGGTCTGTGGATCTGGGGCAATATTGGGGCTTTATTCTTCCCATATGGCCTGAAGTAGCCGGGGGTGGGGGGATACTAAAACAGGAAACTGAAAAGTTTCATCTGTCAGTCCTGAGATGAGTTACTACTTCTAATTTTCTAACTACCCATTTCCATAAGCCGTTCTGCATAAAGCTTATCAGGACTTGGCAGCCACAAGCCACAGCCCCCAGGATGAGACCCAGGGCTGACTCACCTGGATGACATCCAGGGCCAGATCAGACCAATACAAGCAATTGCGTTCATAGTCAAAGTCCAAGGCCACGGCTGCCCGCAACCCGGTGAGAGGCAACTGCTCCGTGGTTCCTGAGGCCAGGTCATAACGGTGGATGGACTTTCGCATAGCATACAGGATGAACTCGTTCTCTTCTGCCAGACACACAAAACAACCAGGAGGTTAGACCCAAGGGATGCTGAAGAGGTCCTAGCATGCCTGACCTATTTTTTCCTCCTATATAAACCTCATATCCATTGGCATGTGGCAGGGATCAAGTAAAAGAGCCTAGAAATCAAGACTCAGAAGGCGCGTAATGGAATCAAATTTCTGCCTTGGGCAAGTTACTTAACTCCAGTGAATCTGTTTTTTCATCTGCAAATGTTTCACTAGTTACTTTTTTTTTTAGTCTAAATTTCCCAATATGCATCCTTCAAGATCCACACTTCTGAGCTTAGCCTGAAAATCTTCAGAGTCACACTTGCCCACATAATTAAAACAGTTGCCATGCTCTCCCTTACCACATGACTGTATCACATAGCATCATCACCTTGTTGACTACAGACCATTAGTCACTGAAGACTTGTAACTAAGTTTTCCAATCAATTTGTTCACTCATTCATATTGTTCATAACGCCATATGGCAACTATATCAACGTATTAGATTTTGAAAACAATAATCATACATTTGTTCTCGACTATTTACAAAATGTTCCACAACATAATCATCACAAAGATTCTGTTTCTACTTAACAGATACTTACACAATGTACTCACTATGTACCAGGAACTGTTTAATCCTCATAATAACTATATGATGGTAAAACTATTATTGATCCAATTTTACAAATGAGAAAATTTAAGATGAGAGAGGTCAGGTAACTCACCAAAGGTCACTACTATCAAGTAGCAGAACCAAGATCTGAACTCGGGAACTCTGCATCCAGAGTCTATGCTTTTGCTTTAACCACTATGCTGCCTCTTATGATACAGATGTTAATATTGCCGATTTTAAGATGTGGAAATACATCTTAAAGATGTACTTCTTGGCTGGGCCTATAGTTCAGCCCATAGTTCAGCCCGTAATCCCAGCACTTTGGGAGGCTGAGGTCAGTGGATTGTCTGAGCCCGCAGATTTGAGACCAGCCTGGGCAACTTGATGAGACCTCATCTCGACAATAAATCAAAAATTAGCTGGGCATGGTAACACGCGCCTGTAGTTCCGGCTAATTGGAAGGCTGAGGTGGGAGGATCGCCAGAGTTCAGCAGGTCGTTGCTGGGGTGGCCGTGAGCATGCCACTGCACTCCAGCCTGAGCGACAAAGTGAGACTCCAACTCAAAAAAAAAAGAGATATATTTCTTAAGAGACTTACCTAATGTCACACAACCAGTAATAGGAGTTTATTATAATCCAGTGTTCTCTCTTTTCCACTTAGGGAATAGCCTGAAAAACATCCAGATTCTTCCCCAGGAGTGGAGATGAGCAGCACATCAGCATCCATGTCTAAAACACCCATCTTGACAATATGCTACATATGGGACCAAGATGCAAATCTGAATCCCTCTGCTGCATGCCTGGATTAGCTGGGCTTTCCCCCTCTTCTCCCTCATTCCATTCACTCAGTGAATTAACATGCACTAGCCACATCTAGGAAAAGGCTTCGACAAAGATAATACATCAAAAAATAAATTCACCTAAATGTTTTAAAAGGGTAGGTTTGCCTTCTTTTCCTTTGGTCTCATTTCACTTTAAAATATCTGAGCTACCACCACATGATAACCAATCTCTTCTTTTGGTTGTCAAGAAAACCATCTCACTGCAATTCTCAGGGAGGGGAGTAGTCAAGACGCAGGGCACATAAAAACCACCCTTCACAGCAGCAAGCCTTTTGCCCTGCATCTCTCTATAGCATCTGCAAATCTCATTCTGCTACTATGGGTTATTTTTCCCTCTAAGAAACTAATGCCCTTACAGTAGAAGCTGAGTCCAGAAATACTTGCTTTTCGATTGGGCACAGCTAAACACGCAGTGTTTTAGTGGGCAATGCTTAACCTATAAAAGAAACAAGATGCTTGGCTAATTCTAGCCATACATGAGCACAGTCTAGTGCTTTGTTATAGTAATCGTAAAGGAAGAAAGTTAAATGCATTTTAAAAATTCTTCCAGATGCCCAAATCGCCTCATCTTTGCGAAGATTGTTATGGTTCTAATTAGTCCCATGAAAGCATCTTTTTCTTTCTTGATGTATCCCTGCCTTCTATTCTATGCTTCCCCCGCCCCTTTTTTTTCCTTTTTTACATTTAGGAGCTGGCCTACAATTAAATGAGATTTTTCCACTTCATTCCCTGTTCTATCTTCTCCTATTAGAAGAGAAAATAGCTTTCCTGCCAGTATAGATGGCTTTAAACAAACTGTTTTGTCCCTTGCTGAATTATCTTCAGAAATATTTATTACAAAAGTATGTACTCCAGACCCTTAAGAGCAATCACTCAAACCCGACTAACACAAGCCCTCATCAATAACAGCTCTTACGAGGGAAATGTTTGAATATTATCTGCTCATTTGTAGGAATCTGCTGAAGTGGTGGTTCTTTTTAAGTCTCCACAGCGAGGTATGTTAATTACTCTGGTAATGATGGAAGATTAAATTAAGGGACTAATGAGCTTAGCATGAAAAACACCAGGGCAAGCTGGCAGCAGTCAGCAAACCAGAGGGCCACCCTGCCCTGCCTGCAGAGATGACACGCTTCTTTCATGATTCATTTGGTGCTTGTAGCTGTCCCCTTAGACACCGCCACCTAGGATGGAAGTCAGCGTGAGTCATTCTTCTTCACCGAGTGGTGTGGGCAGGAAGAAGGGCTCAGAGAAAATAAAGAAGCTCTAATGGATAAGAACTAGGAGCAGAACGAAGAAAGAAAAGAGGCTAAGAAATTATTTTTTTAAAGTATCATAATTTCGGCCATTGCTTTGCTAAGCTTCAGTCTGACCATGTGGCTCCGTGAGCTATGGCTGCTATGTTTCCTAGCTTTGCCCTCCACCCCACCTTGAGGAGGTGAATCTCCTCTCTCTCTCATTTATTTTCTAAATAAACTATATTTTCTATCTAAAAAAATAAAGTATCATAATTTCATGTCTATACTACAAATACCAACACATTCCATCATCACTAAATCTAGCTGAAGCATGTTTTAGAACAAAATATGTCTTTACAACATGTATAATCACTCCAAAGAAGTTTTTCTTAATTAGCATGCATGATGCTCATCGAAAATAATAAAAATGACACTTGTTTGCCATTTGAGTGCTGTCCAAAGAAGAGCAGAGGCTCAGAGTCTTCATTTTAACTTTGTCACTTAAAGGATGTGTGACCTTAAGTCAGTCATTGAATGCTCTCCTCTGAATATGCTTCATCACGCAAAGCACTAAGAGTTGATAATAATATCTGATAATTACTGAGTTGTTAAAAGGATTAAAGTGATAGTACATATAAAAATATATCAGCCTACAAAATCCATTAAAATATTAGTTATTATTACTATAAAATTAAGAAAGACCACTTAGTTATCTTCAAAAGTCTCTTTATAGTCAACTCTGACAAACAGATTAAGGAACACACAAAAGTCTATGGACACCCCTCTGTCCCCAGTACCCAGAATACAACAGATGCTGAATAAATATTTTTCAGTGAACAAAGGGATTTCCCTCAAAAAAAAAAAAAAAATGAGCCAACACAATATATTTTCCATATCTAAGAAAGAGTAAGGCTATATATAAATTTAGTTGGTAATCAAGCTTAGGGGGAAAAAGGAAACTGTGATGCTTGCAACTTAGAGAAAAGTCCACATGCCTGGACTTGGGTGAAATCACGATAATACTTCAATGATATCTCAAGAAGTCAAAGGCAAGAAACCACCTCCCTTACCTGCCAGGGGACAAGGGACCAGTTCTCCTTCCAGTCGTGCTTCAACATCTCCTCCACTACAAGTGTCCCCAGAAATCTTCCGGTAGCTGTCATGCCCATCCCAAAAGCAAGAGGTCAGAAACATCAAAGAACAGTGGCAAAGGCATCCCAATTGGGAGCATATATCTTATCTAGGGACAATCAATTCCATCTATTCATTACCCTACAGAACAAGAAGGATGATGCTCCAGCATTCAGAGTCGGTTCTGCTTATAATTAGAATAGGCAGGCTCAGACAATTTAGGGCACTGTCCAGGGCAACATTTTAAAATATATCTCTTCGATAAACTCCTTTCAAGATGTTTCTTTGCTGAAGTTCACAGCTTAAGATACTCCTAGAGTTGCAGAGATGCTGACAGACTTGCAGTTTATTTTCTTCTCACTTGAGGTAGGAGAGTTTGAAGACATCATATTTTTAAATGTTACCCAAACTAACTGCAACCTGCTAACTTGGAATTCTAGAATTTAGCAGAGGTCCTCAAACTTTTAAAACAGGGGGCCAGTTCACTGTCCCACAGGCCGTTGGAGGGGCAGACTATAGTTTAAAAAAAAAAACTATGAACAAATTCCTTTTTTTTT